GGCGCACCTACCACCATAGGAGCTCCCACGTCGCACAGGATTGGGTGTGACCGGCGCGTTGCTCTAGTGCACTGAGGACAAGACCGCTCCGTCGACCATGCCGCCACAGTGACAAACACAGGGCTCGGACATACCGCCTCCACCCACAAAACGCCACGTAGTGAACGCATGTATCGCCCCTGTCCTCCCCTTCAACTATAAAAGGGAGTGACCGGGGCCATTTTTGGACACGCACTCACGGAGACATCGCTCAGATAGACACACACGCGCAAGCAACGAGCAACACTCTGTAATACAGACGCTCCCTCACTACAAGAGATCAACATCTCAAGCAACTCACGCCGCTCCACGCAGAGACCTGGGACTAACTCCCTCTCTCGCCCTGCTTGTAACCCCCTACTACAAGCACCTCGGTGCAAGGAATACAAGATCGCTCTCTCAGACTGGACGTAGGGCACATATTGTCTAAACCAGTATAAATCTTGTGTCTCTTTGCATCACCATCCGAAATTAGGGACACGCAGTACATTTTCACTCGTTGGTTGAGGACCCGCCGGTTCAAAACACCGATAGGTTCTTAGCAAAAGGAGAGCTGCAGCTTCTAGGAAAACAGTGTGATACCTGCCGAAGTCATGAAAACACTCCGTTAGTTTGGTTCAGTAGCACCCTTCTAGATCGGCTGTGATGTAGCTGACCGCAGCAAGTGCTGCGCCAGCCACAAGCGCCAGAGACAGCGGGGATGGCAGCAGCTGCAAGTTGTTGGCCTTGATTGCCCAGATTTCTAGCACATGAAAATATTAGCAATAGCCAGAAAACTATTGATTCCCCAGTAGATGCATGGGTCAGTTTCAAATAATGCCAAATGAAATGATCAAGGAATTGAAGGAAAAGGTATAAAACTATAACAGAAGATTTGAAGTGTATAAAACAGAACAGGTATGCATCCAGGAAAACAGAACAAGATGCTTTGACCAATAACATTCCAGAAATAATATTACAATTTCATGATCGAGATACATGTCCACATACATCACAGTAGAGTTTTTCAAATGCCAGCTCATATATAGGCATTACAATAGAGTTTTTCAAATTCCAGCTCATACATAGGCATTACAATAGAGTTTTTTAAATTCCAGCTCATACATAGGCATTACAATAGAGTTTTTCAAATTCCAACTCATACATAGGCATTACAATAGAGTTTTTCAAATTCACATCTTAGTTCATCTTCAACTTCCTTGGAATCAACTTCTTCGCTATTCCCTTCTTTGGTTTTGGTGAAGTTGTAGCCTGCTTGTTTGGTGATAAATTATTTAGCAATGTACTTGGCCCTTCTCCAAGTAGTACAGCTAGTCGGCTTCAACATGAAAGAATTGTAATGGACGGCAGTGTCTTCATGAAAGAATTATAATGGGTTCATGAAAGAATTGTAGTACCTTCTAATCAACCTTTCTGGACTTGTTGACAAAAGATTGGCCTTAGCTGTGGCACCATTTTCAGCTTGGACATGAGTAAGTTCAGCTTGGACAACAACATCTTCAGCCTGTACAGCTTGGACTCCAGTATTTTTAGCTTGGACACCAGTATTTTCAGCACCATTTTCTGGCTGCACAGGAGTATTATCAGACTGTACAGCAGCATTTTCAGCCTGTACAACAGCATTATCAGACTGTACAGTATTTCTTCCAGCAGCTTTTTTACCATTCTTCCCATACTTGGTTGTATTTGTCCTAGGCTTCCTTTTCCTGCAAGTTAGAACAATTTAGGCACTCGTAGCTTGTTTGTCCCATTTAGTAGATGTAAGTTACAAAATTAAAGAAATCAGTATATTTTCTTTGTCCCATTTAGGCGGCACTTGTATCTTGTTTCTCCATGACTCAATTCTCCACACCCCTTGCATATTCTTTTCTCTTTTACCAATTGCCTTTTAGATTTAGCAGCTTGCATAGCCTCCTCTTCAGTAGCTTTATCAGCCTCCTTGGCAGTCTTTTTCTCTTTTCCACCACTTCCTCCCTCAAGACATCTTTTTATCCGTAGCTTTCTATACCTCCCAGCACCCTTTTTGTCTAATGGTGCCCCAACTATAAATGAAAGTGGCATATGTGGCCACTGAGTTTTATCTAGGAGTGGCTCTATTAAACTCTTATAGGCATTCCTGAATTTCTCCACTGAATAGCATTCATGGACAAATCCCTCAAGATCCACATCCACAGTTTGTTGGGCTGTAATCAAAGCCAAAGCATGCTGACAAGGCCTACCAGTGTGTTGCCACTCAAGGCATGTGCACTCATGGAGATAAGTCTTCACTACATGTCTATTATGGATGCTATTAATTTTCCATATCTCTGCAGCCACACTATCAGAGGTGATAACTGTCAAGTGACCCAAGCCTCTGGTTCTCATTTTCAGCTGACATATGACTGTAGGTAAAATTCTCCCATTAAGCTTTTGTCCAATCTGTCTTCTCTTCTTCCACAATACCATTAGCATCTTCCTAATTTTATCAGCAAGCTCAACTACAGGAAGGTCCTTCTAGTTCTTGATCCAATTATTAAAACATTCAGCAAGGTTGTTGGTTATATAATCACACTTGATTTTAAGGTTAAATGCACTTCTCATCCACAACAATTTATGATGATTGTCAAGCCATTCCATCACTTGATCGCTAGCCTCTCTAACAAATTTGAAGAAATATTGAAACACTTCAACTCTATATGCTCGAGCTGCAGGATACATCTTCGAAAAAGCATCACCCCCAAACTTCTTAATGAAATTCTGCATAAGATGCCTAAAACACTCTCTATGTTCAGCATGAGGAAACATATTTTTAACAGCTTTCTCAAGACCTTTGCATGCATCAGTGCAAATAGCAAGAACAGGTAGGTCTCCTATGGCCTTATGCAAGTGAGTCATAAACCATTCCTAATTTTTTTGTTGTCTCACCATCTATGAAGCCAAATGCAATATGATACATCCAATTATGTCCATCTAGAGCAATGGCTACTGCTAAGTGTCCACACCATCTACCATTCAACGCAGTGGAGTCTATACTAAGGTAAGGCATGTATCCCTCTAGAAAACCCTCAATACAAGGACTTAAAGCACAAAAGAACCTGTGAAAGTGTACCTTGCCATCAACCATCTTGATGTCAATCTCAATGACACTGTTTGGTGAGTGCTTTAGAACCTCTGCCCTCCAATTGTAGAGCATTTGGAAGCTTTCCTCCCAGCTACTAAACAACTCTTTCATTGCAATCAGTCTCCCTTTCCAAACGGTGTCATAGTGAATTTTACATTTGTGGTCGTCTCACAGCTGCTTCAATTCTTTTGGGCTCATATTTGGGTCCTTTCTGAGGTGTTTGATACCCCTTGAAGCAACCCAGACAGCAGTGGGTGTAGTAGTAAGTCTCCTCGCATTGGATGAACAATTATGTTGATCAATCAGAACTGTAACCTGCATTATTATAGAAATTAGAACATTGCCATGACTCAAAAAAAGAAGTCATATTCATATAATAAAAATAAAATTCTGTATACCATAACAGTTTTTGAATGACGTTGTTTTCGACCATTAATATGCCAAGGGCAATCTGGTGCCATGCACTTCCCAATAAACCTCTCTGTGTCTGTTTTCACAGTGTGTAGTGCAAACTCTTTATTAATGGCAAACTGCCTCACCGCCAATCTAAACTCAACCATGTTGGGGTACACAGTGCCAATATCAATACATGGTTTATTAGGGTCATACACCATCACCCTCTCCTCCGGTATTGCATCATCAACAGGGATAGCTGCACCACTAGTGTCAACATCAGGGATTGTACTATCATTGTTTGCGGTAGCCTGATCATCATTTGAAGTACCATCAACAGCACCCTGGTCATGATCATCCTCGATTCTCAGGCCCAGCAAATGATACAGCTCATCATCATCGAAAATTTCTAACCTTCCTTCCCCTTCATCATCTTGCCTCTCCTCAATCCGTAATTCATCCCAATTAACGATATGTCCCTGTGGCTGTTCTAGAATGCCACCATCTACAGGCACTAAACTAAGCTCAGGCTCTGCATTGAGCCTAAAAAAACATCCATTACAGAGTTAGAACACTACACGCATACGAGATCCACGCATACCATACAACAAAGAGTAAATAATGATGCATATCCGGTAACTACATCACTCTGATTGCAATCCATAGTACAAGCACATAAGAGAATCACTATTTCCTACTCCTGTAAAACCCTAAGTTAACACTATACCCATCGAATCCACAAATCAATCCTGAATATGGGCGCCTTGAAGGCTCACCTTAGTTCTGCAGGGTTGGCCTGGTGACGCGCGGTCGAGCGACGGCGGCCTGGCGTGGATGGGCGGCTTGGCTGGGGCCGCCTTCGCCTAGGGAAGGGCACCCGGATGGCTAGGAGGAGTGCACGCAGATCCGAAAAGAGGGGGAGCGGGGACACCTTGGCGGCGGCTGACGGGCTAGCCTTCGCCTGGGGCAAGGAGCATCTTTGAGGCGGATGGCGGCAGCGAGGCTCTGCCCGGGGCACGCAGCAGCTGGGTGGGGGGCGGCACAGGGGTGGCGCTCTGCCTTTCACTCGAGCGAGAGAACAACGAGAGGGGGAGAGATGAGAGCGCAGGGAATAGGTCAACGAGCTCAGGGGCAAAATGGTCACTGAAGGCTAAAATTTTGGCTGAGTTTTTTTTAAAGTCGACTTAAAATTCAAAATGACATTATAGTGTGTTGGACTCGTTTGATAAGGGCATTTGTCATTTGGGCGAAACTCACTCACCGTAAGGGCAGAATTCCGATTTTCTCCACTTCGGCCCTTCGATTCGAAACGAACGGCTTCGATGGTCCGATCTGAGCGGCAGCAGGTCCTGGCCCCACATGTCATCTCCCACTTTCCGAACACACACACCCCCGGCGGATTCCATCCACATCGTCCGTCTACCCCTTTTCCCACGCACCTACCACGCAGCGCCGCCCGAGCGGGACCATGGCGTCGCCGTCCATCCCCGCGGCTCTCCGCCACCCGCACCTCCCCGCCGGTGGAGTCCTTCTTTTCCACTTGTTCGGGGATCCAACCTCGCGCTCCGCGCTCTCGTTCAGGCAAAACTTTCTTTCTCCATCTAGTTTCTGGCACCGCGCCGTGAAACTTTTTGGTGTGTTGGTCGATCCGGTCGTGGTTAATTTTGGTTGCTTTTGTTCAGCTGCCCTTATACTAGAAACGTTTGTTGTTGCTGCATCAAATGCAACATGTAGTTTCCACTTGGAAAAATAAAATGGCTGGCCAACTATTTGCTCCTCGTGCTTAACAGTATCAGAAGATTCCATGTCTTGGAATTAGGTAGATGGATTGTGTCTGTTCGAAATTAAACAATTCAGTGGATGAATCATTAAATCCCATTACCTCATCAATGATTGTAGCCTGGTCGATTGCTTGCACTGAAAGAATCGAATGCTTCACCTTTTAACCTCTTTGTGTCAGTGATTAGCTTGCTGAGCACCATGTGTGTTTGTGGATTATTAACCTCTAATCTCTATGTATTTCTGTAAAGTGATGTTGCAGTGATAATACTTCGCTTCTCTTCTTGTTTAAGCAGGATAGGAGACATGCCAATGAGAAGGTGTCAGACAGATGTTGGTCCAGTTTTGGCTGCAAGGGGTCCTGGTTTGGGCAACGTTGACAATCTCCATCAGGTGTGCACTTGCAATTTCATTGACTTTTTTTGAGTATTTAGTTGAATACTTGAATTGCCATATAATGAAGTTTATCTTGACGAATTGTTTTTCGTGGGCATGTGCTGTAGAGTTCAAGCTTGTCTAGGAGCTGGGATTTGAACAGCCAGATTGATGATGACCGCGATGTACTCATAGAATGTAGGGATGTTCATAAGTCATTTGGTGACAAACATGTATTAAGAGGTGTCAGTTTCAAGGTCAGCCCTTCTCTTTCCACTTTCATTGATATATGTTTTTCATGACTTGAATCAGAACCAGTGATTTCCTTAAGTAGCAAGAAGGTGGCAGGAGTCATGTAATTCTCATTCCCCAGTTGCAAAAGATTTGTAATTTGAATCTTATTTGATTCTTTTTTTTTTTACTCACCTGTCACCACATTGCAGGCACTATGCATTCTGTCCACTGTTATATTTTGCTAGTCTGATGTGTTCATGACTCAGTAGATTTGGTTTGTTGTAGTTATGATTTAAAATAATGTTATATTCTTGTGTAGATTAGACATGGTGAAGCAGTCGGGATAATTGGACCTTCAGGAACAGGCAAGTCAACTATTTTGAAGGTTATGGCAGGGCTGCTAGCCCCAGACAAGGTTGTTCATCTTCTTAGTTTGCCTCTGTTACAACAGTGCATCATTACATTTTCGTTACAGCTTGGTCAACTGGAAGCTAAATGTGCTCTTTTTCTTTTTCTGTCTGCAATAACAAGCAGGGTGATGTAATCATTTGTGGAAAGAAAAGACATGGTTTAGTTAGCGACGAGGATATAGAGGGTGTCCGCATTGGTTTGGTACATATTGCTTGTATTTTGTTGCATCTGTACTAAGAAATGGCATGATTTCCTTATAGCTTCTTGTGCTTGAACATTCTGATATGGCATTGTGATACAGGTCTTTCAAAGTGCTGCACTTTTTGATTCTCTCACAGTTCGCGAAAATGTTGGATTCCTTTTGTAAGGGAACATGCCTGCCAGAAAGTCATTTTTTCAGTAATTGCTTCTGTTAAGCTTTCATCTCTGATTTATCCATTCTTTGCTTTAGATATGAAAATTCAAGCTTACCCGAGGACCACATTGGTAAATTAGTAACAGAAACTTTGGCTGCAGTAGGACTAAAGGTAAGTCAAGCTTCCATATTCATTTAGGTAGAGCACTTGTTCCCACAATAAGTTTAGCATTCAATTCATAAAGTATCTGTGTTTAAAACATTGTTTCTGTCACAATGAGTACTTTGCATGATGGGAAACTTTTCTGATAAATTACCAACTGTTATCTACAGATGCTATCTAACAGTAGACTAATAGCAGGCAGAGTAATCCTACATGTAAACAATGACAAGATGGCCTCTTTACTGGTCAAGAGCAAAACAAAAAAAAGGACTTGATATAAGATGCCTTTATGTTTGTCGAAACGAGAATTGCACAGCTTCTAAAACAAATCAGCAGTAGAGGAGCTGTTCTGCTGCAATCCATGAGTTACTATTATATCTTTTGAATTTAGAACTGTTTTATTTTGGAGGATGATAATTTATAATCAATCCTGTTCAATTGGGCATGAGCAAATGTTTGAGCATTTCTTGTAGTACTGTTGAATAAAACTTTATTGTTTCTTGTGCAGGGTGTTGAAGATCGTATGCCATCCGAGTTGTCTGGTGGCATGAAAAAGCGTGTTGCTCTAGCACGTTCGATAATATTTGATGATACAAAGGATGTAGTCGAGCCAGAGGTATTGATCATGAGCTAATAAGGCGTTTTCCTCTTTATTACCTGATACACTCTAAATTGGAAAGTCTGTTTCTGTTCTTAAGCCGACACTCCTCAAATTTCTTCCTTTGGTAGGTCCTTTTATATGACGAACCTACAGCTGGGCTCGACCCGATTGCATCAACTGTCGTGGAAGACCTTATACGTTCTGTCCATATGACTGGACGGGATGCTCTTGGTAAGCCAGGAAAAATAGCTTCCTATGTTGTTGTGACCCATCAGCATAGCACAATAAGAAGAGCTGTGGATAGGTAAGAACAAATACTACAAGTGTCACTCCATGGCCTCAGTTGTCTATTGCTAGGCTGGTATCTGATATTTGTTTTTCAGGTTGCTATTTCTTCACGAGGGGAAGGTAGTCTGGGAAGGAATGACACATGAGTTTACAACATCAACTACTCCAATTGTTCAACAGGTTACGCACTACAGTTCTGCTTTTTTTTAAGCATGCTAGGAGATTAGTCTTTATCTAACCAGTTTTATCACCTGGCATTATCTTGTGGATTGCAGTTTGCATCTGGTAGCTTGGATGGGCCCATACAATATTTTTGAAGACCCAACCTAGTAGTGAATGAAGCATAGGTGTTTTATTACACCCTCTTACATATCATCCCAACAAAATCTAGAGCATCAATAATCCAACAATATCTGGAGCATCAAGAATCCGAAATGGGCTCGCTGTGGTGGTTGGGAGATGTAAACGCATTAGGTTTGGCACTGCTCCATTGAGTTTAACAGGCATCTGCAGCAGCATCATTTGGTCACGTCACCCTCTGCACATAGTTGGGGTACCAGCTTGTCAAATAAGCGTTAAGTTTCTATACATCATTCTTTGGGGGAAACTGTGCAATCAAGCCAAAAGAAACTGCATTCTTTGGGAAAACTGCACGATCATGCGGGGGGGCAACCTTAGTAAACACCCTTCTTTTTGGTCCTTCATGCGAGCCTGATGTAAATGTAACTGTAACTGTTGCCTATGTTGATTTTTTTTTATTTTTAATACTTTTTTAAAACTATTTTCAAATTTGACACTGTTTATTTTTTATTTTCAAATCTAACACTTTTGGTCGTGCCTTTTGCCGTGGCGCGGCCAAACCACTCTGCCGCGCCATGCATGGCGGCGCGTCAGAATTGTTGACGTGGTAGCGATCAGGACGTTAATCGATGACGTGGCTAGCTCTGTCGCACCGCGGATCTTGGCTGCGGCAGTGCCATGCCATCGCGCATGGCACGGCAGGGCCGAATGTCGCGTCCTCTTTCCTTCACTCTCTCCCTCACTCAGATCCGGTCGAGGAGTTACGTGTCGCCAGCCTTGCTCTCTCGACGCCGTCGGCGGCTCCTCCCTGCCCCCCTCTCCCCCTCCGTACTGCCCTCCCCTCTTTCCCCTCACTCCCTAGAGCCGGTTGCCGTCTCCCCTCACCCTCGCCGCGTTCGTCAGCGCCGCCAGTAGCCCCATCTCTCCCTCCCTCCCTCTCGTTCTTCCCTGCTCTCCCACCCTCTCCTGAGCCAGCCCTATCTGATGTAGACTAAGCCCGATCTTCCGAAAGGTATGATAGCGTCGATTGGTGGAGACTCGATGTTCACGATCTAGACTTCGAACCAAGACTGATTCGGACCCCCACAACCGTTACACTACTGCTCTGTTGGTTATCAACCACGCGAACGGGATTGACCTCGCCGAGAAGGCTTTCCTACAAGCGAATCGAGAACACAAGCAAGAACGGAATGAACGCAATCTGAAATTACAAATAAATATGAGGCTTATGAAAATAAGGAGTTTAAGTCTTTATTCGAAAGGACTAATCCCCACAGGCGAACAAGATCAAGAACTGGGGCCCTGGTTCACAGCAAGTGGCCTTGGCGGCGACAGTTGCAACAAAACGATGTCTGTTTCACGAGGAAATCAAGAACTAAACAAAACCCCCAAACCCTAAGGAGAGCGACGGCTGATAAATATAGAGTCTTGGGCGTCACCCCCCTGGACGCGCCCCTAATGGGCCCAAACACGATACATGGTCCAACAGACCAAAATACGGTGTCGTAGCACCCTGGCAGATTCTGGACGCTGACTTGTTTCGACGATTCCCGTTTATTCCGAAGAGTTTTAGACGTGAAACCACTTGGATTGGATTCCTTATCCAATTAGCTTTCCATCCATATGTGGATCATCGAAAACGGAGTCCGGATGTGTCTTGGGTGACCAGTTTAAGGCAGACTGATCCTGGAGGCCGAGATGGACTCGAACTTGATTTGGGCCTCCACCTTGGTGACTCGAACCGGATAAGATTCAGACCTCCTCGCTTAGGACACCCTCGCTGATCTCCTTGGTCTCCATATGGTTCTTCAAGCATGGTCATATGTATGGAGGTCATATCCTCATCATCCTCCCTTTCTTGACGAAAAGCCATCCTCGGCGTCGATTTTGATTGAAGTCGATCCTGCACAATATGAGGACAAACGAGGTTTCCAAAATAATGGAAAGGGACGATGTTGTGAGAAAGAATATGACCACATGTCCAGGTTTGTAGCATGTCTTGTCCTACAGACATGTAGTCAGCTCGATTGAAATACACACGATCTTTGTAAATACTATCCTGCAAAATATTAGTACTAACAAGAAACATATGCTCCCTTTCTTTAGATTCCACTTGTGTTCGAAAAGCAAAACTAGAGGAATATGGCATAACGAAAGTGTTGATTTTACTATCCTCTAGTTGATCATTACTTTGCACAACAAAAGGAGAATTCGGATTTATACAAATGTAAACTCATTGTATCAAATATTGCCCTTGGTTGTTATATTTACCAAAAACATGATATATATGTCTAGAGAACCATGACAAATCAACATATGCATAAAGTTTCTCCTCTAAAGAACTAAAATTACACGAAACATGAAATTCTATGTAACCCAAAGTATTTAAAAAAGACAACAATTTCAGCTCATCAACTTCACTAGCATTATGAATAACAAGTCTATTTTTAACACAAGTGCTCAATTTCAGCACACATATAGCATGGTCATTCTTTAATGATTGCATGGATATAACATAAATATCATCATGCAAGTCATCTTCGTGACAAGAAACATCAAGCAAATCATCTTGTGACAAAGGAAAATCAAGCGAAGGCTCCACTAAAATTTGCTCTATCATAGCATGATTGGTGGAAAAATTCAGCACATCAAGAGAACTCTCACCTTTCGTGAGTTTAGCATCGTCGGCATTACCTTTGCTCTCATGTTCAGCAGGAGTAATAGTTGATGGTTCTGAATTTTCACATGAGATTGTGAGCATCTCCTTTTCTATCACGTCATCCTCGCTCTTTTGTACATTGTTCTGCAAAAGGTTAGGCATAGCAGGAGGAATAACAAGAGATTGATCTAGTTGATGCACCTCATCATTTAAATTAATTACAAGAGATGGATTAACAAAATTTTCTCTCATAAGATGTTTCATATCATTCCAAGTTTGAGGTTTATCAGAAGGATCTAAAGACTCCCACCAAGATAAAGCAGAATGTCACAAAACACTAGCTGCATTTTTTACCTTCCTCCTTGGACACATAAAGCGAGTAGCAAATATGTTATCGATGGCAATTTCCCACTCCATGTACTCATCAGCACCTATACCATCATAAGTCGGTGGATACGAACAACCTGTCATTGTTAGAAGACAGCAAAAGACTACACAAAAGTATTATCCGTATCAACTACTTAGGTTGTGGACAAGGAAAAACAAGGCACTCAACTCTCAAGCGTCTTACCACAGTCTTACGAGTGTTCTTACCAAAGCAACAGGCGGTGCAATTGGTCGGTGACTGTGATACCATTGTAGCTCGAGTGTAACAGTTACAAGGCGAACCTGTACTTGGTTAGAAGAAAGTGGAGCTTGGATAGGCACAATATAGTAGCAAGGAAAAACAATATTCGCAACTGAATAGTAAAGTTGAATAAATATTCCAAGTACTTGTCTTAGTTGCTGGCCTACACACGTTCCAAGTACCAGATGTATCAAGTGATGTGAACAGCAAGAATATGATCAGGAACAAGGTAGAAATTAGCACACGTCAAACACAGCTCAAATGGCGCTCTCTATGTGCTCCTCTAGATATTGTTCCTCTTTTGCCCCTCTCTTTTTTTCTATTTTTCGGGATGTCGTTGTTTTTTAGGAAATTTCGACTTTTTGTTTTTATTTTTTTGATATTTTTCCTTTACTTAGGAGCACAAAAGAAGTAACCACAGAAAATATGAAATTAAACAAGTGAAAGACGTGGCCTGTGGAAATTTTAGAAGAAGTGCTCAAAATCGACAAAACCCTTGTAACCACGAAAAGAGGATCTTGTGACCACTTTTTGACCAAAATAAAAATCTCTGACCCCGTAGTTACGGGGGATGGACGGATCCAAAATTTTTTTCTGATCGATTTTGATATATGGAACGTCGAAATCTGAGTTCGTATGCGAAAACTAGACCAGTTTTACGAATTGACTCCAAATTAGAGGACAAAACGGAAACAATGCGCGCAAAAGTGGTCACAGCAGCAAGGATTTGATGGAAACAGTGAAGACAAGTGTAACAAATTAGATGGTGTGGACTTGGGTTTGATGGAAACAAAGGAAACACAGCAAGACTTGAAAGTGTTTACTGATTATGATGAAAAACAAAGGAAAAGACACAAACTGGACTCAAAAACGATCTAAAACCAGCAACCAGAACTTGACCTAGGACACAAAGTCAACAACGCGAAACAGAAACGAAATTGCATGGCATAATGAGGTTATAGGACAGGGAATATGTGGTGGTATATATTTTTTGGCTTTTTGTGGACTATAGGTAATGCAAAAACAGTAATAATCTAAAGGGAAAACAAAGTTATACTTAACGGGCAATAAGGTCTCTGATACCACTTGATGTAGACTAGGCCCGATCTTTCGAAAGGTATGATAGCGTCAATTGGTGGAGACTCGACGTTCATGATCTAGGCTTCGAACCAAGACTAATTCGGACCCCCGCAACCGTTACACCACTGCTCCGTTGGTTATCAACCACGCGAACGTGATTGACCTCGCCGAGAAGGCTTTCCTGCAAGCGAATCAAGAACACAAGCAAGAACAGAATGAACGTAATCTAAAATTGCAAATAAATATGAGGCTTATGAAAATAAGGAGTTTAAGTCTTTATTCGAAAGGACTAATCGCCACAGGCGAACAAGATCAAGAACTAGGGCCCTGGTTCACAGCAAGCGGCCTTGGCGGCGACAGTTGCAGCAAAACGATGTCTGTTTCACGAGGAAATCAAGAACTAAACAAAACCCCCAAACCCTAAGGAGAGCGACGGCTGATAAATATAGTCTTAGGCGTCACCCCCCCTGGACGCGCCCCCTAATGGGCCCAAACACGATACATGGTCCAACATACCAAAATACAGTGTCGCAGCACCCTGGCAGATTCTGGACGCTGACTTGTTTTGACGATTTCCATTGATTCCGAAGAGCTTTAGATGTGAAACCACTTGGATTGGATTCCTTATCCAATTAGCTTTCCATCCATAT